GCTTGCCATTGCCCCCCTGACTGTTTGACAAACTTCCTGTAGCTTGTCCAGCTAGCACCCCTCTACCATTAGGGCATTGTCTTGCCCCCAAGGACATGTGAGGAATTATAGGAGAGGGTGAGGCCCTTGAAATCAATCCGCTGGCGAGACTGGGAGCCATTGGAGTTTGGCGAGAATTCTATTCAAAGCAGATAGTGGGCGAACTGAGTTTGGTGCGGGTGAGGTTGTCGATTGTGGACCAAGGGATAGATAAAGAAGGTGCGAATAAGGCATATTTCCGCAGCATTGTGTGTGAGAGAGCAGTGGAGGTGGGCAGTGTGGTGGAAGTGAAGAAAAGGAATCTTGATGTGAGGAAGACCACAACTAATTAAACTTGTACAAGAGCACTGAGGATAATGTTGGGGCTTCTCATTTATAAACAGGAACTCGTGGAATTGAATTTGTTTTCATTGGAGGACAAAGATTCAGAGGGGGCATTATCCTGGTTTTTCATACTGTATTTAAATTACAGAAGCATTTCCTGAAACACCAACTACTGGAGAAACAGCACTACCTGTATTATATTGTGGGGAGGTTTTCTGCAGTAACCAGATTGATTTGACTTGTTTTTGTCTTTGCTTGTTTCATAGCCATCTTGAGTGGCAGTCCCAGGAATAGGACTGCCCTGCTATTTGAGTGATACACCTGGCATTTTCGTAGGGAGTGAGAGTAACCTATCACATTAAGAAATAACTTTAAAACATAGAATCTTAAAAGTTATGTTTTGTCACATTTACTTGATATAAACCTACTGGACGGTATTCGTGAAGTTCTTCATTCAGGATTGCCAGCAACTAATTTGCTAGACTTTAAATTGGATTTGCATGCAGTGTGTGATCTTAGTAATTGGTTTGCAACATTACTGCATCTTCTCAGCAAACAAATTATCAGATTACTGAAAAAATGTAATTAAAACATGGTTGTTAAACAAGTGCCAAAAGCATCGATAATAGCTAATTTAAGTATTAAAGTCTGCTGTTGGCATGTGTACAGTATATTATTAAATAGGTCATTAAAAAGTTTTACCATATTGTGGCTTTGAGCATAAAAGTGAATCAGGCCAACAAATCAATGTTAGCACTTAGGTCTGTACAGAAGCATGCTGTTGTGACAAGTGTGTTAAAGCAATGGGATTAGGCTGAGAGACACTTCTGATTGCTGACTCTCCAGATTAATTCACCTGATGATTTACCCCCAAGTCAATAGAGAATTAAAATGCCTAAAAAGTAAAGCATAGTTGATTTATTATTAATATTAAAAAANTACATATTTTACATGAATGAACGAAAATAACATGGATACTTGAAAATGGATCTATTTTATGAAACTACATTAGTTCTAAACCAATATGCAGCAGAATTGCAATTTAACAAATGGAGCTTCAGGTTCTCAAATCAGTACTGATGGCGAGCTGAGCACACGTGTGCTAGTACATATTAGTCAAAATTCATAATTTGGGATCTGTACGTTCAGTACTGCGTAAACTGCATTTCATTATTCTGCTCAACAGATATGCTTTGGTAGTTATGAACTGGTAATCAGTTGAGCTGCTAATGTTTACCGTAAATAGCCCCAGAAATGTATTTTTATTAACCTAAAATACTGTGAAATTCAATGTTTGATGATGCCTATTCTGTTGGTACAACAAAATTACATTTATAGAGCGCCTTTCACGTCGGGAGGACGTCCCAAAGCGCTGAACAGTAGGTTTCGGTGCCCGAGCATGGTTGTAGGGGTGATTGAAGGCAGAGAAGTGGGAGGGAGACCAAAGGCACAATCGAAGAGAAGAGTCTTGACACTGGCCTTGAAGGATAATTATTGATAATTACTGTTACTAATACAATATGATTCATTTTGGATGTAACAGTTAGTGTATTCATTGCAAGTTATTGTAGTGACAAGCACTACTGTACTAAAGGTTTGTTTGATATTCCAATTAATCTAATTAATTACTTTAAATTAATTTCAAATTTTGCTATGGGTAAACACATCACAGGGACCCAGCGGATTTTGTCAACGTAAGTGAGTTATCGACATAAACAAACAAATTTCATTTTCCAGTTTAAATACTTGGTATTTTGTATCATTTCTGTGGTCTTGATAGAAAATCCAATCACAAGTAGGTCAGCATCCTGCAAGCAATTTGCTAGTTTGAACTTTCAGTGTGAAGCTGCACATGAACACCATAGAAAATCCATTAAAATCTTTGTAAGTTTCTTTCCCACATCTGTTGTGCACTTTTATTAATGAGTTCAGATTTGTTAAATGCAGTGAACCCCTACTATTTTTACAGATCATCAATGGGGAGAAATACCAACTGGATTTAGATTTACTCTGATTACTGGGGACGCCTTCAAATGTTTCAGGTTGAGGCTTGGGTTTGCTTACTAGTCTGCTAACTATCCATAATTGGCAACTTCTAGGTCAACAGGTCAGAGGTGATGTTATATTCCTCGCACTGAATGCAAGAAACACCTATAGCATCACTTCTTGCAAACTGACCATGCCAAACTTACTCAATGACACGTGCCACACTTACCCAAACACTGACTTGCGTATCACCTGTCAGTATAATTGGTAATGACACAATTGAATGCTGTTAAGGACTTGGAATTTTTTCCGATATAATCATGCCGAAGTTTATGTCAACGTGGATGTACATAGTAAGTTAAATGTGTTCCTTTGCGGGAAGAGACTGAGCAGGACTAATCTTTTGTCAGCATACATGGGATGTCGATAGAAATAGTTTCAAGATAAGTGGGTAGCACTATACCTTATTTTAATAAAAGATTCTGGCATAATTATTGTGATTTGAGTCATTTGTTGTCTATTTGATTTTTTAAAAAATTGTTTGCCTGGATGATGTTATTTGAAATCTGTTTTGCCATGGCATTTTTTAAGTTGACGGATTTGCTAAGAAAGCTTGAACTTCCCAATGTTCAGTGTGCACAAAGCTGGAAGGCCTAGTCACAAATGTTTGCCACAAATAATAATTATAAAATGATTTGGCAACTTGTTTCCAGGATTTGTGTCCTTGTGTCCAAGTAACTTTTTTCTTTTGGTGCATTACAGTGATTAGTTTATTGAACCAATTTTGGGGAATTTATTGTTGTATATCCAGCTCTTGGTATCTTAATTACAATATTGAGTATAATCCCAAACAGTTGCATTGTTTTACTCAGTTAATAAATGCCAGAATTTCTCAGGTGAGCACATTTCTTGCCTTGGAATGAGTTGATTCATATGCCTTCATGTAAATAGCCTGAATGATAACAATGGGAATTTTAACTGAAATTCTTGGATTATACAGGAGAGGGTGAGCAGATTGTGATCCAGCTATCTGTTAATTGTGCCCCTGTGAGGTCAAAAATATGAAGTGAGTCAAAAAGAAACTCTAAACACTGTACAAGTTATATTTAATGCATATAGAGTCCTTCCCCGCTATCTAGTTCCTTGTACAAATTGACTTTTATCTTTTCACCTACAGAGTTAGATAAACAGTTTTGTTATGAATATATTTGTTTTACTGAGAGTAGTTTAAAGACTAGCAGCAGAATTGGTGCATATTGCATAAAGCATATTGGTGGGTGTTGCTGCACGAGTGGGTGCTCGCTCCTGCACGATTGCCCTTTTACTTTTTTTCTTGCTTTACTTTATTCTGTTCTTTCTCATTTTTAATTTTTCTTTCTTAATTTATTTCCTTTTGCCAGTTTAGAGAATGAGCTAAATACCAATAAAGAATGAGCTTCAGTAATATAATGATATCGCTGTCAGTTTCCTCTTTATGAATCCAATTGATTCTCTCTTGTACTAATAATTGGACAGAGGGGGAGAGAGAGTGAAAGTGAGCAAAACATACTCTCCCACGAATAATGTATGCATCACTATCTGCAATGTTAAGCATAAGGTTGAAGTGCTTCATAAGTTGAGTTAGCTTTGGTAACGTTTTAGTAAATGACAATATTCTTAGTATCTTTCGTCTTTAGATGGTATCAAATATTGTTTGCTGCTGGTCTGTTTTGTTTACGAAATGAGTGGCTAACCAAGGAGCCACTTCTCTTTATTTACAGATGTTCTTCTCTTGGGTAAAACAAATTAACTTAAAACATACAGAATTGCTGAATTGCCATGAACTTCAGTTAGTATAAAGCACTGTGACGATTTGACTGAACATCGGTGTGATACTCACTCTACTTAATAAAAACAGTGTTCACCTGCAAATGGTAGATCAAATGTTGCAGTTAGATTTCTTCCTTACATTGTAATAAAATAATGATGCTAGAAACTAGATATTAGAAATATATTGTGAATATGGGAACATAGGAAAACAGGAGGAAGACATCCAGTACACTGAGCAGGTTCCACCAGTTTATTAGATTTTGTCAGATCTTTTAATTCCCAATGCCCCGCTTGTTTCACCCACAAAATATACAGTCAATTCACTTTACAGTATATGCTGTAAAGCGCTTGGAGACATATCGAAGACATAAGGCGCTACATCAAATGCATGGATTATTATTATTATCCTATGTCCTTAATACCTCTACTACTAAGTAGCTATATATATCTCTTTTACACATTCCTATTTATTCCGCTTCCACAGCTTCAAAAAACGTAGAAGTGGATTAGAATTGCATTTTCCTTTTAAGAATTCTTTTTTAAGAGTTCCTATCACTACTTTGCTATTTACTGGTTTTGTTGTTAACATTCATTGTCTTCACAGTTCATCTTAATCGCCGCAGAAGTTTTTATTCTTCACCTTGCACTCTAGTTTTGGTTCCACTTTCTCTTCTGTGTTTGTATAGTTGTATATTTTAATGGAGGTTCTGCCATATACAGTCATGAAGAGCAAGAGAAATAACTTACAATTGATCTGTGTTTATATTGGTTATTAACAAAGTTTTCACAAGAACTGAGGTTGTGATAATTTCTGCTTACTGGAAATGTTCCTCTCGTTGCAGCCTTCACAAAGTGTTGCAAGGAAAGTGGCCTTCTCATGGTCATAAAATGCAGAGAAGAAAATGCAGCACTTAAGGAATGTCTGACTGGCCAGTGAGTATTGTCATATAGGATTAATATACAACAATACTGTAAATTGAAAGTTCCGTTTTTGATCGAATTGCCCTCCCCATACAAGGGAGGAAATAGTGGGCAAGAGGAAAATTAAGTTGAGTCATGAATCTCTGTGCCTCTTTATATCAGCCAACCTACAGATAGGACTTGTTGACACTGATCGCACAGCTAGGCCTTGTTCATACTATTACTAATTGTGAGCTTGAAGCTGAGTACTAGCTGATACAATTCAAACATTATTGCAGAAAATCCTAGAAGTCCACCATTTTGGCTTAAAATAAAGTTTTGTCGAATTGTTAAATTCTTAAATTCAGTCTTAATTTAGAAGTGATTTTTCTGCAATTCAATGAACCGAATTCCAAATTAATAATAATAATCCTTTAATTTGATGTAGTGCCTTATAATGTTGTTGAGACGTCTCAAAGCACTTCACAGAATATTAAGACTGAATTTGAGAAATTTCCACATTTCTGCATTATTTTAAATTTTAAGACACAATAGTCTTACAAGATAGGTAAAATAGATGAAATTTTAATTGTGATTTTAGTTAGTTCTAAATCCTCGTCTTGTTTAATTGTGATTTTAGTTAGTTCTAAATCCTCGTCTTGTCTATTATTTGTCCAGCGCCCCACCGTCACTTGCCGAAGTTCGAGCCACATTGCCCCCAATCTCTGGAAATCTCCCAAAACCCTTCACCTTGTGCTCTTCCTCTATGCTTTTAAAATTCTTCTTTTTTTAAAAAAAACGATGGGTTTCGTCATCTCCCTCCTACCTTTGAGATGTGAAAGTTATGAGATCTGAAAGCCACTAAACAATCACAAGTTGTTATTGCATCAATATAACATCAATATAACATTTCCATTTCCCACATCAGTCTTTTCATGCTTCTTGACGATCAATTTAGTGAGACTACCAATTCAGTAATGATCACTACTGAGTTTTGTGCTGCAAACTAAGAGCCAGACTAGGCCTAGGAGCCAGATTGACACTTAAGTGTTACATAAACGAAGAGCCCTTGATACGATAAACCAATTTTCATACTATCTGTCAAGATTAGACTGGAATTGAACTTAACTGAAGAGTTCATGTTCTAACTCAGTTTGACACCTAACTCTTATTCACTATTTTTAAATTTCACGACTTCACTACTTTAGACTTCTACACACATGTTTTGTTGCGTTCAAATGAATTGGAAGATGATGAAAGTTAAAACCAGGGGTCTGTTTTCCATTGATAGCTGAAAATAGTGATGTTTTCACAAAACAAAATCTTATCTCAAAGCTTTGGGAAATGATCCCTGTGTTTAAAGGTCTGTGTAAAGTAAACTGATGTTAAAGATGAAAGTTGTGGCCAACAATTTTGTGTACAGTGGTTTAAAAATTAAAAGAAATTACACTGTGGGAAATTATAACCACTTTCAACAACACAAAAGGCAGGTAAACCAAGTGTGAGATGTTAAATATATATTAAGAACTTATTTCTGTGTGAAAATGGTCAGAGAAGGAATGAGGCAGACTCATTGAACCAGTGAGCAACTTAGGTGTCAGGTTCGATCCCTAGCCTTTCTTTCTACCCCACATCCGTTCCTTGACCAGGTCCATTTTTTTTATCACCTCTGACACATTGCCCACTTCCATCTGTACCTCACAACTAAAGTAGTCAAAATCCTCATCGACACCTTTGTCACTTCCTAGCTGGACTATTCAAATACCCCTCCCCAGCTCCACTATACACAAAATTCAACTAATTTAGAACTATGCCTCCCGGACACTCACCCGCACAAAACTCTGTACTCTCATAACACCAGTCCTTGCTCAGGTTTCACTGGCTCCCAATTACTGAACGGATTTCAAGATCCTCTCACTCGTTTTCAAATCCCTTCATTCCCTCGCACCTCCCTACCTATTGGATTTGCTTACTCCCCACACCACTACCCGGTGGCTCTGGCCTGCTATTCGTCCCTCGACCCCTCCACCATCAGTGGCCGTGCCTTCAGCAAAGCACGAAGCTCTGGAATTCTCTCCCTCAATCCCTCCGCCTTACCCCCTCCCACCCCACTTTCAAATCCCACCTAAATACCTTTTTGATCGTGCTTACGGTCACCTCCCTCTCCCCCTGGTTCGGGGTCAAGCACTCTGGGATGCTAACCCACGTGAAGCTCGCTATATAAATGCAAGTTGTTGTTGTCGTCGAGTCTCATTTTGTATTGCTGTTAATGTTGTTTGAGGACAGTGCAGTGCACCATTCTGTGCAATGCGTTGATATCCCAACAATGTGATGAGGTGCTGTATCAAATGCAAGGATTATTATCATCAGTGCAGGATCATATGTGTATTGCATAATTTCTCTAGATCTGATCAAATATTTGTTACTACTAAAATCTAATTTTATCAATCTTTGTTTACCAGAGTGTTTATCAACTTTTTAATAGAATAATTTAGATTGTTGGATTGACTGTGAAAGTTTTCTAATTCCCCCCCCCCGTTTATATAAGAAAAATGTTTTCTGGGCGAGGAATATCTGTGCTGGGGAATGGAACAGTTTATCATAAATACATTTGGAGGACAAATCAAAGCGCTTCATAGGATTAATTGTAAAGGATAGCAGTGACTATGTGTTTTATAAACGAACCCTGCAGCCAATTTGTGCACAGCATTATCTCGCAAGCAGCCATGAAGTGAATGACTGATTTCATCTGCGGGGTTTTTGGCCAATACACGAAGGCCCATCTTTTTTTTCGAAACATTCTGTGGAGTATTTTGCGGCACCTTGATTTATTGCCTCTTCAACCCACTGCCCCCCAGCACTGTATTGGAGTTTCAGCCTGAACTGTGAGTTTAAAATCCCTATCTGACTGTTAAACTCAAAGGTTTACAAATTATTGCTCCTATTGTCATCACTCTCTGGTCAAGAAAGCTGCAAAAAGTGACAGTGTTCCTACTTGCAGTTTATCTCTTTTAATTTTATTCAAAAACAAGTTCTACGTGGCGTTTGTTTGCTTATGTGTTGCTCTAACAGTGCTGCTTGGAATGTAGTTCAGAAATGGGGTAGCAGGGTGTCAAGGAATGAACTGTTCGGTTTCACACGTCTCCTGTTTCTGTGAAGATACCAATTTAGTCATACCATAAATAAAGATTGAGGTTCATTTCCATGAAACAGATGTCACCTTCCTTGACCAGATTTTCTTAAAATAACATACATCGCACGAGGGTGAGTTGGGTGTTAAAAGATGGTAATTAATTTTAACACTTCATTTATATGGGATTCGTTTCTTTAACCAGTTTAAGATGATTAGTCCCTTTGCTCTTCTCGCAAGTGAAAGCCTAAATAATTATACATTTGTGGGTTCAAGCCCTGGGTCGGGATATTGAGCTCACATAGTTTAGTCTGACACTTGGATGCGATGCTGGGAGAAGCTCTGCATTTTCAAAGATGCTGTTCTTCAGATAAGATGTTCCATCGAGGTCCCATCTGCCTGGTCAGGTGGACATTAAAGATCCCACGGCACTATGTGAAAAGAGAAGAGAGTTTCTCCTGGTGTCCTGGTCAACAATCTCCCAAATAAAATTGATCATTCACTTCATGGTGTGTAGGACAATGCTTTGTGAAAAAACGGCTGTAGTATTTGTGTGCAAATAAGAGTCTTTACACTTTAAAGTAAATTCTAGCAACAACATGATTTTCTTGGGGCTCAGTCGGATGTATGACTCAAAAACCCATCACTGTGCTTAAGACTCTCAAATTAGATTGGGAGTTTTACACATCTACACCCACAATTCCTGTTTCTGGAAAGGAATGCAAACTCTCTTTCCAGATGGATGCATCCTGTTTACCTAATTCTGGACAGTATTAGGCACAGGTTGACAAGATACAAGAGTGCGTTGGGGCTACTTCTGGAGTTTAACCAGCTAAAATTGCATAGTTTGCCATTGAAAGAACTGACAAGCAAGGTTCCTGCTGCTTGTCTAGCTAGGACCATCCTGTCTTTTAGGGTTTGGTCTTGCAAGGTTAACAGGAGCTGAGTGGACAGACATTCTTTAGTATTTTCATTGTTGCCCCAAATCTCAGGATCCTCATCAGCTACTCAACGGAAATGCGTTCTGGGAGGACATTTACAGGACAGCTTGTGACGTGCCAGTGTCACCTTGATATTCTCGAGGACCAAGGACCTATTCAGCATGTCCTGTTTAATCAAGGTCCTTGTAAAAGGGGCTTTGGAAAAATTGTGAAGCTGCCTCCAGGTTGCTCGGTAACATGTCAATATAGGCTGGAGCTCTCTCCCTGCAGCTGCTTCCCCGGTTTGCCACAAATCCACCTCACTGCTTGATCCTAGATTTCACAAAGGGGCTGGAGGAAGCCTCTCTGCTGCATTCCCAGGAGTTTGGACCAATGAAGAAATGTTTGGAAGGGACTCGTACTCCACAAGCTTAACCTGCTTTGGGATCTTATGCTTGAAGAGAGATGATAATGGCCAGAGTGCCCTTTGCCTCTCAGCGCAGTCCTGAGGGACAGCGTCCAAGTAAATGTTGGTGTTCATCACAACCCCGTATACCAATAACAACTCAGTAGTGTGATAAGGTACTGTGTCAAATGGAAGGATCTTTTTATTATATGAACTAAAATAGCTTCAAAAGCCTAATTTTACAAAATAAGGCAGATTTTAGAAAGTGAAATGATAGATAGATAGATTCATGGAATATCACTGCAGAAAAACTGACGTTTTGCTTCATGAGCTACTTAATCTAATCACACACTCTCACTTGCTCCCCATATCCTTCAATATTCCTTTGCACACATCCTTTCAATTAATTTCATTTAAATAATTTAGTTTGTAAAATAAACATTACTTTGTGGCAGAGAATTCTACATTCTCAACAAAACCTTTGTGGAAAAAAATTCGAAGCTCCTTTTTTTAAATCCTAAACGTGTACTCTTGTCACTGACTCACCAAAATTATCTACAGTAATAATTATAATAACACTTGTATTTGATATAGCGCCTTTCACATCTTCTAGTTATTTCAATGCGCTTCTCAGAATATACTGTAAGTAAATTGACTGTATATTTGTGGGTGAAACGCAGCAGCCAATTGCGCACAGCAGTGTCCCACGAAAAGTCGTGGATTGAAGTGACCAATTTATTATTTTGTTGTGTTTTTCTTAAGGGATTACTATCAGATGTATGGATTAAGGAAACTTGCCCAAGGTTTTGCTCTACCGGGAATCGAACCCAGGTCTCTCGTTTGCAGGGCGAGTGCTCTAACCACTGAGCTACAGGACTCCACTATTTCCTTTGTTGTAAATAGTATTGCTGTTTACAACTAAGGGAGTTTTCTTCTTGTGGTTTTAATGTGTTTCTACTATAGCTCAACCTCAAACTTCTAATCGACTGAGTAAATCTTTTCAGGATGATAGCTTAACGTATATAATAATAATAATAATATTATTTCTGTTAGCATTTTCTGCTGCAGACAAGTCCAGATAATTTTCTGTCTCTCTGGGGACAGACAGTTTTGCAAGTTTTAGCTCCTAATTAATTAAATGAAAATTGCAAGAATAAAGTTATCAAATGTCAGAAGTATGTTCTTACTGTAATATGGAACCCTTTAGAACAAACAATTTGTCAATACAGTTGAAAATTTAAATTTTGCCATTGTTTATATTCCCAGTGCCATTCATTCTTTCAAATACTCTGAGATCGCTCTACCTCTGAAATCTCCAACAATTGTGCTTGTATTACGTTCCTCCTCGGTGGTCGAGCTTTCAGACACTTTGCCCCCGTTCCCTGGATTTCTCTCCTTAAAGTCCTCCACCTCGCATCTTCCCTCTCTGCTCTCAGAAACGTTGTAAAAGCCTGCCTACCTCTTCGACTGTACCTTTAATCAACTTCCTCCAATCCCCCATCTCACCTTCTTCCACTTGCCTGCGTTCCCACTCTCTCTCTCTCTCTGAAGGGTTTTGAGATGCATCCCTATGTGAAAGTTTCTGTAATTGTTTTCTCCCTTTCCTAATCTAGTCTATCATTTCCACCAAAGCATAGTTTGTTCTAGCTATGGAGTACATTTGAAAAAATAGTTTCCATTGGTTTGGAAACTGGCTTGAAAGATTTTTGGGGGATTAATAGCCCAGACATGACTAAACAGACATAATAGTATTCGAATGACATATTTATCATATAAATTTTGAGGCATTCATAAGTCAAAAGCAGGAAGTAGGTTGACAAAAAGGAAACCGGTTAATGGTCCCATAACAAGTGAACTCATCAGAGTCATTCAGACAATCAATAGATACATATTGATGAATGATCCAACCAGTAGAGCAGAGTTGAACACAGCTAAGTTACAAAGGAAGTTCATGATTATACGCTTCAATCAACAATAGCTTGCATTTATATAGTGCCCTTCTTGCAGGGTTGTGTCTCGGAGTGCTTCTGCGGCTACAAGTTTCTGCAATTCTATAGAAATGATAATCGTAATAAACATCCAGCTGACCCAAAAAAATCATGTTGAACATTTCAAAGCTATTCTCAGGATTTACTGTAAAGTTTAATGATTGTATTTGTAGGTGAATGTTGCAGCCAGTTTTGCACACAGACATCCCACAAACAGCCATGAAGTGAATGAATGATTTTATCTGGAGGATTGTTGGCCAGGACATTGGGGGAAAACTCCCTTCTCTTTTTGAATAATGCAGTGGGATCTTTATTGTCCACCTGAACAGGAAGACCAGACCTTGTTTTAACATCTCATCCAAAGGATGACATCTCTGACAATGCAGTGTTCCCTCAGCACCGTCAGCCAACACTAAGTTTAAAGTCTCAAAGTGGGCTTTGAACCAACAAAATTCTGAGTGAAACGCAAGAGTGCTACCGACTGAGTCAGGCTAACATTTATTGTGAGTGTTTCTGCTGTTTCAATTGAGTACATCTGAAATTTTGAGACAGCTGATTTTGTGTTGTAATAGATTTTAAAAAATTATCATCTATAGGATTTAATAATGTGGTGTTCAATACTGTAAAACTTATCTTTTTTTTCTTTGGCTATTCTAGTTCTGTGTTGCATTTAACTAATTATTATTATATTATTTTTGTATTTTTGATTTGAAGCTATAAAGATCCTACATTGCTTGAAGAATGCAAACAGGAATATTTGATGGAAAGGGAAGAATTTCGACGTACTGGCATTGCTTCTAAGAAAAGACAACAGAAAGTGCCTAGTAGCATGTAGCTAAAGAAGGGAATCACCACTTCAATGCAGAATGAAAAGCAATGTGGAGTCATTTCAAGAATTGACAGATACATACACACAATCTGTTAATCATGATGCAAAGAGTGATTCATAATGTCTGGAATATATATCTTTGTGTACAATATATAATTGAACCTATTGAATTTACTGGATACTGATGTGTTTTCAGATTTTGTTGAGTGCTGCCAAATTTCCGCAGTTCTGATGAACATCTTGCATTTGTTCTGCTTTTTTGTGGGTGCTCTCAGCAAGATTGTGATCATGTGAGTTGCATTCGTCCTTCGGGGAACAGCAGATTTGTGTCTGCAAATGCTGCAAAACATTATTCAGAACTAAATACATTACACTGAACTATGATGGTGGCTGTAAATGATTGTACTTTTTATTAAATTTGTTTATCTATTAAAACAACCACACTTGCTTACCTTGTTCAATTTTAAATTTGAGTTAAAATGTGACTGGCATTTCATGACACTCAGGAATGTATTGAGAAAATCCAGAACTTGCCGAATGGGTTGCTGCTTGTCTGCTCTGTTTTTTACTGCTGAATTCTGGACAACTTTGAGTTCGGTCCACAAAATGGAAATTGAAAGAAGTAGGTTTCCAAAATATCCTCGATTAGTCGAGCATCGATCTCCACCTACTGATCATATGAGTACTGCTACTTTTAATATCTATCTCTGTTTTTTACACAGAAATTATTTTGCAGCATTAACTTTCTCCCTTGTCCACAATAAAATATAATTTACATTTATATAACTCGCTTTTCATGTCAGAAGGATGTCTCAAAGTGGTTGTGGGAGCTGTCTTGAACTATTGAATTGTAAAAATTCTATCAAAGACATTTAACATATACAAGTTTGAATAAGTACCTGTCAATGCAATAATTGGAACCTTTTGTTTTACAAAAATAATGGGTTTAGGCAGGAATAAGTTACAGCTTCATAGAGCAATATGCCAAAAGATCACTGGATGGGTTGGGGGTTCTGTAATATGATGTACAAGTAAAAGATGTCTTGAAGTATGTTTCCACACTATGGTATAGTAAAGGGTTCTGACAAACTCCTAATTCCAAGCTCTCAAACATTTGACACTAAGTTAGATTTGGTATCAAATCATACAAAAAGTTTCAATTTGAATAAAAATGAGAGCGAGGTGAAAGATTTTAGGGTTTTGCCCCCTACACCATCACACAGTGAAAAGCACAGGCATGCCTTTCATTGTCAATTTCTCTCCCACTTTTTCCCCACCCATACCGAAGGAGTTTTGACATTTCTTTCTACAGATCCCCTTCATCTACCACAACCCAGCGGACAGCATTCACACCACAGCAGAAGTGTTTTGAAGGCTTTAAAGCACAGAATAATTCTCAACCAAACCCAATTCTCCCAAAGCCCAACATCCCCATTCATGCACCTTCCTTGAGGGGCTGCCTGGATAGTGACAATTTGTGGGAGACCTGGCCAATTTCTTTCTGTTTAATACAAGGGAATTAAGGCCACGTGTAGGCAGCCCAAGTCGAGCGAGGCTGAGATCACTATACTTTGGAGTCCTATAACTCAGTGGTTAGAACACTCACCTCGCAAGCGAGAGACCTGGGTTCGATTCCCGGGCAGGGCAAAACATTGGGCAAATTTCGTCACTTCACACTTCTCTGATTACCTAGCAGTAAGTAGGAACCTGGTTTTCAGTTGATTGGTGGGTCACTTTTTCGGGGGTAATAATTCCTTTAAAAAAATAATAAATGAGTCACTCAATCCACGACTGGCTGCCACGTTTCGCGTCTCAAAGATGTGATAAGGCTCTATATTATATACATGCAAGGATTATTATTATCAGCTAACTCAGCAAAGACAAGGATTTGAATGCGCAACATTTTCTCTACAGCTGCATCAAGTTGTCCCTTTATCTAGTGAGCCATTGAGAAGCATGAGACTCAGAGGTGTACAAGTGATTTAGATTCACCTGGATTTTCCCTTTCTGAGAGGCCCTACAATACCCCATTCCAGTTTTTTTAGGTCCACCATGTGTCATCAATAGGTGCAGAAACCAATCACTGTGCCTAACTGTCTGATCCAGACTGATAGAGTCCAACATATGTATTCCACTTACACATGGAACTTTCCCTGTATCTGGAATCGAATGTGCACTCTCTGCCCAGAGGAATGCTTTCTGCTTACCTATTTCAGGAGAGTATTAAGTGCAGGTTGGCAAGAGCCAAGGCTTGGGGACCCCAGAGTGTGCAATGGGATACTGCTGGAGTCTAACCCCAGCTAAAACTGCATAGCTTGTTATTGAGAGCACTGTCTAGTAAGCTTCCCACTGCTTGTCCAGCTTGGACCACCTTACCCATTAGGATAGTGGTGGCCCACCTGTGGCCTGGGGACGGAAGTGGTTTGGTAAGTCTAGGTAAGTCCGTGTTCAATATTTTCATCATTTTCTTGATTTTATGTCATAAATATTCAATCAAGAAAATGTATTTGTCGACCATAAAGATTGGCCACCATTGCATTATGGCTTAGGCTTGCAGGGTTAACAGGAGCCAAGTTGGAAGAATCATTACCCCTTGTGACCGATCTGCCCATCCAAGTCCTGCCAATGAACTAGGTTGGCTAGTCTGCAGTCCTGGTGCACTGCAGACCCACCTGGCTCAGGAGCCAGACTATCAAGACCACTACACAGCACTGAGATGATTCTGACATTCAGTTGCTAAGCATGTTACCCTGGAACCAGCTCAGCCCCAAGGAGATCCTGTTTCCTTGCTTGTTAGGAAACACAAGAGGCCTTCATAAATTCCCCATCTCCTCTTCCCACCCGGCCCCTACCCATCCCTCCCGCCACACCTTTGAACCCATCTCCCCCTCCTCTCTCATCATCACCATAACCCATGAAATCTACCACCTGCTCCCTTGACTCCATCCCTACCCCTCTCCTTAACTCCCAGCTCCACCTCTTTGCCCCTCTACTCACTGACATCGTTAACCTCTACCTGTTCTCTGGTACTGTTCCCACCCCATTAAAAACCGCTGTCATCATACCTATCCTTAAAAAACCCTCCCTGGACCTTCTCTACTCCCAAACTACTGCCCCATCTCCAACCTCCACTTCCTCTCCAAGGTCCTGGAATGAGTTGTTGCTTCTCAGCTTCGCTCCTTCCTCTCTGGCCACTCCCTTCTCGAATCCCTCCAATCGGGTTTCCGTACCGCCCACAGAAACACCCCTGGTCGAAGTGACAAATGACATTATGTCTATCAGCGACCATGACTTCCTCTGCCTCCTTGTCCTCCTTGACCTCTCTGCTGCCTTCGACACCATTGACCGCTCTATCCTCATCCACTTCCTCTCACCTCAACCTCCATGGTGCTGTCCTTGACTGTTCAGATCGTATCTTTCACATCACCTCCACTTTAACTCCTCTAAACAGCTTCTCCTCTAGCCCTTGGACCGTCTTGTGTGGTGTTCCTCAGGGCTCTGTCTTTGGTCCCCTCCTCTTCAATATCTATATGTTCCCTCTTGGTGACATCATCCGCAGACATGGGGTCAACTTCCACATGTATGCAGATGACACCCAACTCTATCTCTCTGCCTCCACTGTTGACTCCAGGACCACTGCTGTCCTGACAATATCTGTCAGACATCAAGTCCTGGATGAGAGCTAACTTTCTTCAATTGAACGTCAAAAAGACCGAGGCTCTCCTGATTGGCTCCCGTGAGCGCCTCCTCACCTCAGGCGCTGACAACAACACCATCCATGGTTGCACACTCCACCTTACTAAGCCAGTCCAGAACCTTGGCATCTTGTTTGACCCTCAACTAACCTTTCTACCCTACATCTGTGCCATGACCCGCTCTGCCTTCCCTCATCACCGCAATGTTGTCCGGCTCCGACACTGTCTCACACCGCAGGCCGCCAAAACACTCATACATGATTTCATTACATTGAGGTTCGACTATGTAAACTCATTGCTTGTCGGCCTCCCAACTCCTCCCTCCATAGGCTGCAGATCATCCAGAACTCTGCAGCCCGTGTCCTCTCCTGCACCAGGCTCCGCGACCCTATCACCCCCATCCTTGCCCAACTCCACTGGCTTCCCATCACACAGAGGAAACAGTTCAAGATCCAGGTCCTCACCTTCAAAGCCCTCCATGGTCTTGTTCCCCCTACCTCTCCGACCTATTGATGAGCGGGCCTTCCGCCACTCTGCACCCACCCTCTGGAACTCCATTCCGCAGTCTCTCCGTCTCGCCCCTTCCCTTGCCACCTTCAAGATCCACCTCAAGACCCTCCTCTTCGACTGTGCTTTCGATCTCCCTGCTTCCCCCCCTGCCCTCTACCCTCCCCCATCCCCTCCCCCAGCTCGGCTCTGTAACTCTGTCTAGCATTTTGGGATGTTTTCCTGACGTGAAAAGCTCTATTCAAATGTAATATTGTTGTTGATAAAACACCATGTGTTGAATAGGACCATAAAAGACAGTTGTGGTCAAACTGGTTCATCCCATCATAGTTAAAGAAATGATTCCTACCCTGCTCCATTCATTGAAAATGCATCAGATTTGAATCCTACAGGTCCAGTTTGTACAAATGTTAAACATTGTCTTCTTGGGAGGTGGTGGTTATAAGATTTAAAAGTGAAAGTCACCCATACACTTTATGCATGAAGAGTACAGTACTGTAATTCTATAGTAGCTGCATGCAGTGTTCAGTCTGCTCCGAGTGATAAATTTGCACTTAAGTAACACCTCTAATGTGAAATCTAAGCTTTCGCACTTAACGCCCTGATCATATTACCAAAGATATGCACAGGTGGGATTTGATAGTTTTTTTTTTAAAAAGTAAACTTTTAACTTAAATGGTTTTGAATGGTTGGCACGATTATACTAAATATAGCAAATTCTTTTTAAGTATTTGCTTTTGTTCTGGTCATTAAAGATGACGATTTGATCATTAATTTGCCACAAGCTGCTTAATTTTCCATTCCTAAGATATGCTTCTAACTTTAATATGTACAGCTATGCCACTGCATACTAAGCGTGAGGAAGGAAAAGTATGGCCCATGCTGGCCTAGGCAGATTGTACATTAAAACTGTAAAAGATAGATCTGCAAACAGCCTTTTAACATTGAGCAGCTTTCTGCAAAATGTATTGGACTTAAGCAGCTGCATGATAAACGTTGCAGAATTTGGCCAAAATGTTTGTTTATTTCTTTCAAACACAGAGGGTTCGGAGGTGGTTTAGAGAGTCCTCGGGATACATTTTTTTTATTTTGGGAAAGTGTTTTGATTCATTTCATGTGCAATGTTTGGGCGGATGATAGCTTTTTATATCAGGTGGTGGTACTTTGAAATAAAATCAGAAAATGTTTTACAATTCTTATGAGTTCAATAAGCATCTGAAAGAGAAGCG